GGGTTCGAAACCCGCCTGGGCAACTTGGCGAGACCTCATCTCTACAATAAATAAAAAAAAATTAGCCGGGTGTGGTAGTGTGCACCTGTAGTTCCAGCTACTTGGAAGGCTGAGGCGAAGGATTGCTGGAGCCAAGCAGGTTGAGGCTGCGGTGGCTGGGAGCGGCCACTGCACTCCAGTCTGGGCAGTAGAGTGAGACTCCAACTCAAAAAAAAAAAAAATTTTTTTTATTAGTCAGGTGCCGTGGCTCATATCTGTAATCCCAGCACTTTGAGAGACAGAGGTGAGAGCATTGCCTGAGGTCATAGGTTCGAGACCAGCCTGGGCAACATGGCATGATCTCCTCTTCACAATAAATCAAAAAATCAGCCAGGAATGGTGGTGCATGCCTGTAGTTTCAGCTACATGGAAGGCTGAGGCAGAGGGATCACCTAAGCCCAGCAGGTCGAGGCTGTGGTGGCTGTGAGCATGCCACCGCACTCCAAGCTGGGCAACAGAGGGAGACTCCAATGTAAAAACATAAAAAATAAAAATATTTTTTGAAGGAAAAATAATCTCTTAATATCTACATGTATAATACATTATACCTAGGTAATTTAAGATATTATATAGGGTTTAAAGGTTGTAGTTTTAAGTTTTCTCTTCTCTTTGTCATGTACTTCATATGAGGCTCACCTTTTTCTCCCATAAAAGAAGTAAGCATAAGTGAAGGGGGGCATTTCATAGACAAAGAAAGTGTAAGGAAAAGCCAAAGGTATGGAGATAGCCCTTGGGTCATAAATTAGACAGCACTGATTTTTAAAACCACTTTAAAAATATTTAATGTTTTTTATTACAAAAGTATGTGATCATCTTGCATTGCATAAATTATCTTTTGATATTTTTCCTATGTATATATTTGTTCATATGTTTGTATTTAATACAGCAGTGGTATATTGATATACTTTTATATCCTGATATTTTTCATTTCTATATACTTCTTTTTTTTTTTTGAGTTGGAGTCTCACTCTGTCGCCCAGACTGGAGTGAAGTGGCCGCTCCTGGCCACTGCAGCCTCAACCTGCTGGGCTCCGGCGATCCTTCCACCTCAGCCTTCCGAGTTAGCTGGAACTACAGGCGCGTGCTACCATGCCTGGCTAATTTTTTGATTTATTGTAGAGATGAGGTCTCACCAAGTTGCCCAGGTGGGTCTCGAACCCACGGTCTCAGGCAGTTTACTCATCTCAGCCTCCCAAGGTGCGGGATTACAGACTGAGCCACCGAGCCTGGCTTCTATATACTTCTTGTTACATATTTTTTCTTTTTCTTTTTTTTTCTTTTGGAGACAGGGTCTTACTTTGTTGTTCAGGCTGGAGTACAGTGGCACAATCTTAGCTCACTGCAGCCTCAAACTTCTTGGCTCAAGTGATCCTCCCACTTCAGCCTCTGTGGTAGCTGGGACTGCAGGCCTGTATCACACCATGCACAGCTAGTTTAAAGGAATTTTTTTTTATAGGGATAGGATCTCTACAGTCTATTGCCCAGGCTGGTCTCAAACTTCTGACCTCAAGCAATCTTCTCATCTGCCTCTCAAAATGCAGAGATTACAAGTGTGAGTCACTGCACCCAGCCTGTTAATATATATATGTATATATATATATATACATATGTATATTTTAGTTGGAGTCTCATTCTGTTGACCAGGCTGGAATGCAGGGGCACACTCAGGTGTGCACTACCATGCCTGGCTAATTTTTTATTTATTGTAGAGACATGATCTCGCCAAGTTGCCCAGGCTGGTCTCGAACCCCCGGACTCAGGCAATCCACTTACCTTGGCTTCCCAAAGTGCTAGGATTACAGGCTGAGCCGCTGAGCCACTGAGCCTGGCCTGCTAACCCAGCCTGTTAAATATTTTTTATGCCATAATTTATCTCACCAGTCCCAAATTAATGCAATTTTGATTTTTTTTCAGTTTCCTCAATAAAATGTTGTGAATGATATAGTTTCTTCCCCTTCCCTATAAAGTTTTCAGGTTAAATGAACAGATATTTAAAGTATTGGGTCAAAAAATAAGAATGTTTTATGAGAGAACACAGATTCTTTTAAAGCTCTAGCTTAAGGCTTATTTTCAAGATGAAGAATGAGATAACGAACCGTAGTATGTGTCATGAACTCATCCTTTCATTTAAAATGTTTCTTTAGAAATGGTTCACCAAACCACCAGCCAGAACCACCCCCTCCAGTCACAGATGTAAGTCCAAAGTTGAATGTCAGTTACTTGCAATGTCTGATAATGCTTGGATAACTATACAATTCGGTAGAAATGTCCAACTCTTAGGAAATATTATTCATTCATTCACTAAATGAACACATGAATTGTGACTGTGAACCAGATACTGTGCTAGAGATAAAAGGTAGGGAACAAGAATACAGAACCCTGCCACTTGAGGAGCTTACAGTCTAGTGGGGAAGGTAAAGGTGGAACTCCTCGAGCATCATGCATGGTTAGAGAGAGATGGATGTGGTGTGAGCAGCTTCCAAACAAATGAGGCATATCTGAGGGTCAGGATGTGTGGGTGTGTTTGGCTATGTGTTACCTAATGGAGTAGTAGATAAATCTATTTAGTTATCAAAAGAATGTTCTCTCCCTTTCAGAACCTCTTGCCAACAACCACACCTCAGGAAGCACAGCAGTGGTTGCATCGAAACCGTTTTTCTACGTTCACAAGGCTTTTCACAAACTTCTCAGGTTAAATTTACTTTTCTTTTTGTTTTCCTCAGCATGGAGTATTCTTTTGCAGTCTAGGGCCTCCTGGTATCCATGTGAGATGTGAGATTGTGTGTGTGTGTGTGTGTGAGAGAGAGAGAGAGAGAGAGAGAGAGAGAAAGAGAGAGAGAGAGAGAGAGAGAGAGAGACAGAGACAGAGACAGAGACAGAGACAGAGGTGGGGGAGATCTTACTGAATTTTGCTGATGAAATGAGTTTCATAGGATTCTTTAGACTTTCTCATCAGCTGCAACTGTGCTGTGAAATACTTAAAAAGAGATACCAAGTGGGAAACTATGGGGGTAGGGAGGTGGGGGGTGGAGAGGGTGGAACTGGCAGTTGAGGGAAACTCCTAGGGGAGGGAGGGGCACACCTCATCAACAAGGGTACCTACATAATCAACGTTTGTATACATAACACTGCATTATACCCCACATTTTAAAAATAAGATGTAAAAAGAAACACCTCTTAGTTTAAACTCACTTTAATTTTAAAAAGCGTATTCCCTAAAACGCTTTTTAAAATGTATTTTCTATACAATATGTTATCAAGGGGCATTTGCAGGTAGTCTGAATTTTTCCCCTTGATATCACTATTTTGTATTTTACTTACACAATTCACTTTTATTTTTTAATTTTTTAGTTTTTATTTTTTTTTGAGTTGGAGTCTCACTCTGTTGCCCAGACTGGAGTGCAGTGGCTGCTCCCGGCCACCACAGCCTCGACCTGCTAGGCTCCGGCGATCCTTCGGCCTCAGCCTTCCAAGTATCTGGAACTATAGGCAATTCACTTTTATTTAACACCTTCTGTTTTTTGTTGTTGTTGTTGTTGTTTTGAGTTGGAGTCTCACTCTGTCACTCAGACTGAAGTGCAGTGGTCACTCCCAGCCACCACAGTCTCGACCTGCTGGGCTCCGGCGATCCTTCCGCCTCAGCCTTCCAAGCAGCTGGAACTACAGGCATGTGCTCATTTTGATTTATTGTAGAGATGAGGTCTCGCCAAGTTGCCTAGGCGGGTCTCGAACCCCCGGGCTTAGGCAATCCACTCACCTCAGCCTCCCAAAGCGTGAGATTACAGGCTGAGCCACTGATCCCGGCACACCTTCTGTTTACCAGGTGTGGTAGGAAATACACAAATGGCTGAGTATACCTCCTGATCAAGTAGCTCATTCATCATCTAGTGTCCAGAAAACCCCCTACGACAAATCAAATAAAAATGAAACCCTGAAAAACAGGCAAACAAATAGTTTGATGCAGAAGATAAGTGTTCTGACAGTGAGACATTCAGGGGTGGGACCAATGTAAGGTTTGTTTTTGTTTTTGAAGAGACAAGATCTCCCTATGTTGCCTAGGCTGACTCAATCCTTTTGCCTCAGCCTCCCAAGTAGCTGGGGCCACAGGCGCGCTGTGCCCAGTTTACATGGTGGAAGGATAACTCAGACAGGAAGAACAGCTTGCTCATGAGGCATCATCAGTATGATAAAAGCACAGGGTTGAGTGGAGAAGTTAATTGGGGGGTAATTGAGATGGGAGAGGAGGCAGAGACCAGGGCCAGGTCCTGAAGAGCCTTGTGTACCGTGCAAAAGAGTATGGATTACAACCTTCTGGTAATGAGGTGTCCTTATGATAAAGCCCATTTAATAGTCATTAACAGAGAATCTTTGCCTTTATCATCCATTTTCTTATATTTATTCCAGGGGCAGATTTATTGAAATTAACTAGAGATGATGTGATCCAAATCTGTGGCCCTGCAGATGGAATCAGACTTTTTAATGCATTAAAAGGCCGGTATGTAATTAGTGTTAAGATATCGATGAGGTTGGATTCTAAATGGATTTGGATTCGGGGATGCTCCACAATACTCTGCACAGCTAAATACATCTTATCAAAACATTTGTAAAAAATGCTAGCTATTTATCAAGTAAATAAGGATGAAAAATATCCTTTCTTATACTTGGTCTGAAGAATTCTCCATAATGTCCCAGTTTTCATTTCCAAGTAGTTTTTTTAATCCTATAACTATTCATTGTCTTTATCATGAACCAGGTACTATGGTAGGCTCTGGGGATATATTGGTGAGCAAAACAGACATGGTGTCCAGTGTTGGGGAGTTTGCTTTCTAAGGGGGAGAGAGAGAAAGATATAAACAATAAGTATTTTGGATACTGGTAAGTGTTTTGAAGGAAGACAAAACAGATAAACAAGCAAAAACCAAGGCTGTGGGTTCTAGAGTGCCCAGAATATGGTCAGGAAAGACCTCTTCGAGGATGGGATATTTAAGCTGAGTTATGAGAAGAATGAAGCTCTGGGAGATTATTCTAAGGCAGAAGGAACAACAGGTGCAAAGGCCCCGAGTCACGTTTAACTGGAAAGACGTCCTTCTTACATTTGGGTAGGAATTACTTAGTGTCTGCTTGCAGTGTTACAATACAGAGTAATTTGTAATCCTGTTTTGGGATTTATACTTTTAAATAGGGAGTAGTAATATTGGTGGAAAAAGCAGATCAATAGCAACAGAACCAAATCAGTGACTAAAGAATAAAACTGATCGGGAAGCATTTGTGTTTGTGGACATCACAAGGGATATTGAATCCGGTTGGCTATAATCCTGGAAAATTTTAAGAAAGAAGTGAAATTCTGAGGTTGATGACTTGGGGGAAAAAGAATGGTCATTCATTTTTAACCCTTTGCACCCGGAGATATCTCGTGATCACCTACCAGCAACTCGACCACACTTTTTTACAAAACAGTGAAAACATAAATCACTTTCTGTTCAACAGTATAGTAAATAAGAAGCTTCAACGTCATCTGAATGAGGACCCCTTTTGTACCTAATCGTGACTTATACCCCACATCTTTAAAATATATATTTTTAAAAAGTATAAACAGTATAGCATTAGAACCAATTATTTTATTGTCATGATATTTGGCATACAGTGGAATTCTGGACATAGAGGAACTTATTTAGTACAAAAAAAATCAAAACTTTATATCTTGTGTTTTTCTAACATGTAGTAACATGTGAAACAGTCATCGATTGCCATTGCAATGCAAGTTCATTGACACATGTTGTACAACAGTAATTTGTTTGATGTCTTCCACCTGGTGTTTTTCTATTTGATCAGACAATTCAATCTCGTTTTCTTCCTCCCACATTCATAGTATGGAATTTATTGTCCAGTCTGTTGTTTGAAAATGATGTGGAAGGACATTCTCTTTCTACATAATGCCAGCTAATATATATATATTTTTTTACCTATATCTTGGTATACATTCCATCTCTTTATTTGCTTTTTCATGCAATTTGAATGAAAAACTTCAAGGAAACATACATTAAAAAAAAATTTGCGCTGACATAAGTTTGTCCTGTATAATCATCAGCAGTCTTTTTATGTCCCCTGAGAGAGGACATCTGAGTGGTTTGCTAGATTTACGATGTCCCCTCAGAGGGGACATCTGAGTGCAAAGGGTTAAGTGTATTTTCCAAAGAGTGTTTCAAAATAAGAAGGAATAAGGTGATCAGATTAAGAGGTAGTTGAATATCTTTGTCTAAGAAGTAAGAGAGCAGAAAGGTTGCTTAGGAGAAGATAATGAGGGAAATAAGATTCTTCAGTTTATTGTAGATATTTGTGAGTAAAAAGCCTATCTTGCACCTGACCCATAAAACAGTGGCTTCAACATTTTGAATATTTCTTACCTCTATACCAAAGTCACAAACTCAAATAGCTACAGACGCCACATAGGTAATGTCAGTGAGTGACAGTCAAATCTGGGGTCCAGTGAAGAAGGCACGTACCACGCAAGGAGGGCAGCTGATGTTTTTATGTGACCCTGAAGGCCTCTGATGGCAAGATCTGAGGTTTCAAGAAAAGCCAGAAGTTTAGAGGTTTATATTGATGCCTCCTGTTGGAACTAGTTCAGCCTAAGGCAGGGAAAACCTACCATTGGGAAACTGATAAAAACGTAGCAAATGAATTGCATTTGGCCAATGGGCTGCCAGTCTTCAGCTCCTCCTCTGTACTGTCAGCAGAGAAACACAAGTTTTTCCTGATTGCCTTAAAGTATGTAAGACTAACTGCCCTTTTTCCCCCTTAGGATGGTGCGTCCAAGGTTAACCATTTATGTCTGTCAGGAATCATTGCAGTTGAGGGAGCAGCAGCAACAGCAACAGAAGCATGAGGACGGAGACTCAAATGGTACTTTTTTCGGTAGGTTGTTCTGGACAGATCAGGATGGATTATGAAGGATAGTGAAGAGATAACTGTTAGGCATGTATGATGGGAATTTAGGAGACAGCATGTGCTGGAAGTAATGATAATCACTAACGTGTACTGAGCTCCTAGTATATGCTGGGTGCTAATCTTAACTCTTTTTACCTGCTTTAATTTTTACAACTCATATTTCCTCTTTGCAAAATATATTATTGTTATCTCCAACATTTACATGAGGAAAATTAGGACAAGGTTTGTTAAATAACTTGCCCTAGGTCACACAGCTGCAAGTGGCTGAGCCAGGGTTTGAACTCAGGTTTCTGCATCCTTCAGAAAAGTGGGCCCTCCCAGTGATCAGATAACCTATAGGAGCAGACATACTTTGTACTGACTGCTGTTGCTCTCTCCCTTTTGCAGTGTACCATGCTATCTATCTAGAAGAACTGACAGCTGTTGAATTGACAGAAAAAATTGCTCAGCTTTTCAGCATTTCCCCTTGCCAGATCAGCCAGATTTACAAGCAGGGGCCAACAGGAATTCATGTGCTCATCAGTGATGAGGTAGATTTCTCAGTACAGTTGAATTACCAGATGATGATTAATTTGTCAGGCCTTGTAACAAGAGCAAGAGCAGTTCTGCTGGGGCAGAGTGTTCTGCTTTCTAGACGGAGTGTTTTACACTTTTCTGCTTGCTTACCTCCTAAATAATTTTTAAAAACTATGTGTCCCCCTTGCATTTTTTGGGTTGACTTAATTTTTTGTTGTTGTTAAACGTTTAAATAGTTGTTAAAAAAAAATTTCATTTTGGCCATATATATATTTTAAAATGAAATGGTTACATCACTATTGTAATTGCATTCCATGTAACCTAAATATAAGAGTGATTTAATACTACCATCATCCATAAAAAAAAAAAAAAAAATTCATGACCGTGCCTTTTTTAATTTTTTTTTTTATAGAGATGGAATTTTGCTTTGCTGCCCAGGCTGGTCTTGACCCCTGGCCTCAAGCGATTCTCCTGCCTCCACCTCCCAAAGTGCTGGGATTATAGGTGTGACCTCCCCAGATGACTATGCTTTTATTTAATAGTTAGAATTTTTATGTTGTTCCTCTGTTTCCTTGACCTCTTATTTCCATTCACTTCTCCCATAGAATTTTATCTTCCCATATTTTTATGTTCTAACATCTTACTGATTATCCTACCATATTTCTTTGAAACAAAAATTTGTTTCAGCCGGGCTCGGTGGCTCAGCCTGTAATCCCGCGCCTTTGGGAGGCTGAGGTGAGTGGATTGCCTGAGTCCGCGGGTCGAGACCCACCTGGGCAGGGAGACCTCATCTCTACAATAAATCAAAAAATCAGCTGGGTTTGGTAGCGCATGCCTGTAATTCCGGCTACTTGGAAGGCTGAGGCGGGAGGATCGCCGGAGCCCAGCAGGTCGAGGCTGCGGTGGCCAGAAGTGGCCACTGCACTCCAGTCTGGGTGACAGAGTGAGACTCCAGCTCAAAAAATAAAAATTTAGAAAATTTTAAAAAAATTTTTAAAAAATTTTGTTTCAGTAGAAGTTCAAAAAGTATTTCATAATCAAATTACCTTCATAATTATTCTATTGTTCAAAATAACACAAATATATTACATGTTTTAATAAGTAATTATTAAACATTAAGAAAAACATTTGTTGGAAGCTCATCTGTTAATGAGGTGAATGGAATTTTCCCATTCCCACCCCCATCATTGCACAGAGTTATTTCATCTATAGATGAATCTACCTGTTGATTGCTAGAGTGATAAGAGCTGAGCATTGGCTCCATTCTGTTTTTCCCTTGGATATAAATACTGCAGAACTTGGTTCACATACTTTGATAGATAGGAATGGATAGAGTTTTGTTATCACAACATCACCAGATTATTTTGAATCTCATATACCAAAAATTCCATAGTGATACTATAAAAAATTATTTTGTATCATCTATCATTTGACCATTTGTGATTAGGCCACTGTTTTATTCTAATGAAAGGAAAGAATGAGAAGCCATGTGACTCTTGAAAGGGTTTGCTACCCAGTTGTGAGCGGTCACTTTTGTAGCCTGGGGCTTTACATCCTGGGGTAGAGCACTTTAGTAGGATTCTGGGAGGGAGGAACTCGGGCCTGCATTTTGTAAAATGGGAGAAGGGGGTTTGAGAAGGGAATGCGGGGAAGGAAAATTGACGAGATCTTACAAAAGAATCTGTATGGAAGTTGAAGTCCTGGAAGTCAGTTCTGCCGTAGACTCCTCTCAGTGTCATGTCTATGATCTCCTTGGAAAGTCCCAGGGTTACGCCAGGGAAATGCACACTCCACTTTTAAGACCACTGTTCTAGACTATTCAGGTTTTAAAATGTAAAAACCAAAAAGGGGGAAAAACAAACAGCTTGTAAAGCAAGTTTTTGAAAATAGAAAAAAACAGATTTGATTCTCTAGATATGAATGAAATACCCTATTTGTGACCTGTAGAACCTCCCATCAAATCCACTCCAGATGTGGAGTGGTTCTTAGGAACACATAAGTATAAAGGGATTATTTTTCACTTAGATAAAGCAGCAATTTTTCTTGCTTTTTTTCCAGATGATACAGAACTTTCAGGAAGAAGCTTGTTTTATTCTGGACACAATGAAAGGTAATAAAATAGTAAGCCAAACCCCTTTCTCTAAGGAATTTAAAAGCTCTATGGCTACGAAGCAAAGTACTAAATAAAGTATATACTTCTCTGAGGAGAAATAGGGAAAGTATCAACCATATGTGAAGTAGAGAAAGTGACCTTATTAGAGATTGTTCCCTTGTGTGAGTTGACTCATTACCACTACTCATACAGTGTACCTGATGACTGCTCTCTTCCATCTTCCATTGACAGATAAGGAAATTGAAGCATGTTTTTGTAATGCATATTTATTCAAAGTCATCTGTGCTAATTAATGAATATGCTGTCCTGGTTGCTTTTCCTTCTTGTAAGAACCTTACTGCATTTTTTTCCACCTACTGTGCTTTAGAGGTGTCTGAAGGTTATTCTCTCTCTTTTTTTAACAGCAGAAACCAATGATAGCTATCATATCATACTGAAGTAGGAGTGGGCATTCCGTGCTCAGTGGCTGCTGCTTTCTTCACCTCTAGAAAACGGCCCTCTCGAAGAGGGGTATGAATGGAGATCTGAAGGTCTGCAGGAACCTGACCCCTCTGACTGTGTGTGGGGGAGTCCAGGCCATGGAGGCAGAATCGCGGCCCTCTGTGTTGGCCCAGGCTCTGTGACACACAGATTGCTGCCCAACATGCCATTTGCAGCTATTTCTTAGTTAAGATTTCTGGACCCTCTTGTTGTTGAATATCAGTAGAAACTACATCATTTAGGGTGTGTGTAGGGCATAATGATGATGGGAATTGTGTGATGTTTAACAGCAAACTGTTGACTTTTGTGATATGAAGCCATGTAATTTTTTTCTAATATAAAAATGAATATCCATATTCATAAGACTAGGTCCTCAATCTCTTTGTATTGGCCTTAAACATCCCAGCATCTCTGCTTTATGCCACAGTTGGTCCCCAGACATTTTATCAGTGAGGAGAAATACAGAGATAGGATTTTTCTTTTGTTTCCCCTGTAACACTTCAACTAATAGTAATTTTAGCTCACATTTATTGAGCCAGGCTGTGTGATAATTTTTTTGAATGATGATCTTGTTTAATCCTCTTAATAACCCTGTATGAAGCAGGTGCTGTAGTGGTCCCTACCTGAAGGTGAGGGAGTGGAGACACGTGGTGGCTAAGCAGCTGGCTGGGTCCCAGGCAGCCAGCAGGTAGCGATGCTGAAATCCAGACCCAGGCAATGTGGCTCTTACTCTTCTCCATGCCGTACCACCAACGCCACCCTTCGTAGCCTGTACTTACCGTTCCCTTCTGGTGAATAGGGCACCACACTGCGTATGAACTGAGGAATTAACCACTGAGAGAAACCACCACACCTATGTAATGATGAACAAATCAAGACCTAAAAAATGGAAACACATGCTGTTTCAGTGTCATCAGTTATCAGAGTCACAGAATTTGAGCTGGTGAAAACTTGGGATTCTCTGCAACTCCCCAAAGTCACTGTTCTTGAATGGCATTCTCAAACTTTATTAATGAGTGTGCTTAATCCTTGCTTTCAGTTTCCCTCTCTGCAGCTTCTCTTGGTATAGGAAATTCTCTTACTCATGCAGTGTTTTTTTATATAAGCTTTACAAGAAATGCATTCCCATCCCATTTACACTCTTACGGTATGTTTTTGTTCTTCCTTAAGAATGATCATGTGCATGTGTGTATGTATGTGTAGCATCATGAGTTTTCTTTCTTCACTTGTAAAGTCTTATCTACCTTCACAGATTATGTTGAGGTCAACAAAGATAATGTTCAAAGATTCTGTTTTGGATTTGGATTTGTGTGTGTGTATGTGTGTGTGTGTTTAAAGGATTTGATACAGTTTAAGTGTTTTTTATACAGAGATTTTTGTTCATTAAAATCAACCTGCATCATGGTCTAATTTCTCTTGGTTTGAAACAAATTAAAGACTTTCAAATTGGAAAATTAAGTCAGTGACTTGTTTGAAACTGACCTGGGCAACTTGACATGTGAGGCCAAAATGCTTTTTGTAGTAACTGATTACCAGGTATCTCCATTTTGAGGAGACATTTCTAGTTGTATTATGTTCCTAGCACTGGTTCTCAGCTTCAGTGAAGTCAGCTCTTTTCTCAATAGGCTGCTAATTGGTCTGGAATCTTTTTTTCCTATTCTGTCTGAGTGTTTCAGCAGGAAGGTTGGACTAAGTGACTTAAGATTTTTTCCAAATCTGTGAATCTGTGAAAATGAATTTATATACATTTGTAATTGTGGATTCTGAAATTTATCACAAAATCTCTTAGGCTTTCTTTAACACCAAAAAAAGTTATTGTGCCAGTGCTGTATGATTGGTATAGTGATAGAATATTGTAATTATTCAATTTACTTTTTTAAAAATTGCATATGTTCACCATTGATCCTTTCAATTTAATGAATATCTAAAACTAGCTTTTTCATTATGAAGGTAATACACAAAATGATAAATTCAGACAATAAAGAAGGGTACTGTGTAACTTTTTTTCCTTACCTCTTAGTCCCACTCTATAAAGGTAATCATTGCAAAAAGTTCTCTCCATCACACAAACACACACACACATACACACACACACACACACACACACACAAATACTCAGGTGGGCTCATGTTATGCTAATGATCTGCAATTTGATTATTGTATTTAACATACATTGAACATCTATTTTAGAATTTATAGTTCTATGTCATTTCTTTTAATGGCCATTCTTTATGAATGTCATTTAGGTTAAATATACTTGAACATGCATCTTTGTGAATTTTCTATACATATCTCTAAGATATATTCCTAGATGTAAGATTTTTTTTTTAAAGTGTGACAGTTGATATTAGAATTAGATGGGCCAGGCTCGATGGCTCATGCCTGTAATCCCAGTACTTTGGGAGGCCAAGGCAGGAGGAGTGCTTGAGTCCAGGAGTTCAAGACCAGCCTAGGCCACATAGTGAAACCTCATCTCTACAAAAAGTCAAAACACTAGCCAGGCATGGTGGTGTGTACCTGTAGTCCCAGGTACTTGGGATGCTGAGGTGGAAGGATCACCCAAGCCCAGGAGGTCAAGGCTGCCGTGAGCCATGGTTGTCGGGATCGTACCACTGCAATTGCCTGAGTGACAGAGTAAGGTGATCCTGACTCAAAATTAATTAATTAACTAACTAATTAATTAAAGTAGATGGCTTAATATTTCTGTTAGAATAAGAGTATCTGAGAGGCAGAATGGTTTGATTTTAGGCCCTTTTGAGAAATGGAGCAGCATCCTATTTTATTGGACTTACCATTTCCTATACTGTTCCCTGGAAGCACAGTGGGTTCCATGTAGAAAAACCTTCTATATAAAGACTTGATAGTTAAAAGGGAGTTATTGGGGAATAAAAAGGGCAGAGGTCAATGCGGGACTCTACGAAATGCTCTATTAGATGCCACTTCAAATGTGGCTATTAAGGAATAAGACTGAGCCATGCTCAGTGACTCAGCCGGGTAATCCCGCACTTTGGGAGGCTGAGGTGAATGGATTGCCCGAGCCCGCAGGTTCGAGACCCGTCTGGGCAACTTGGCGAGACCTCATCTCTACAAT